GCACTGATTCTCATTCCCCATTTAATGGGGTTTTGGTCTAGTGCTTACAAGGTTACGCTTCTGGAAGTGTCTTTTTTTTTTTTTACACTTAAGGAAAAAAAAAAATTAAGAGTCGGCTATAAAAAGGCGTGTAAGGATGTAACTCAAGGAATTACCTGGCAAGAAGCCCTGTGATAGTAAATAATGGTAGTGTTTCCAGGATGCTTCCAGCAATTCAGTAGAAATTGCTGAACCACAGGGCAAAAGCTTGGGCCCTTGTCTTGGTCTGCTGCTGACCTCTTGTGCCTCGGTTTCAACACCTGTGAAATAAGGGGATCAGTTGGAAAGCTCTGAAATCCATGGTTCTATACCTTGAGAATTACTTGCTACGTTTGTATTTATGTTGCCGCTGTTTCTTATTTTATCAACTTTTTTTTTTTTAATAACAAGGATTTTTTTTTTTTTTTTAAACATAGGTTTTGGCCAGAACCAAGACTTCAACAAAAAATAAGAGAAAAAAGGAGTTCTTTCTAGATGTTCAAATAATCTCTCTAGAGAAAAAGTTAAGTGTTGTATTTCTTTAATAATATTTTATATTTAATATATTTTATTATATTTAATATATTTTATTATATTTAATATTTTTTTTTCTGTGTGGGACTTCTGATACTCGCCCCCCCACCTCAACAAAAGGGAAGTCCACTCATAAAGGGCTTATTAACTCTTTAACTATAGTAACTTATTAGTGACCATAATAACCTTATGAAGAAAATAACTGATTTGATTTTATGTTAGTATGAAAACTGAAGAGCCAAACAAGGCCTTCTGTGAGACCTACGGAGAGATTGGTGCAAGAATTGAATAAGTATAAATTATACACAGGCTAAACTGTGTTTGGATTAAAATGGGGATGTTACCTTCCTATGGATTTGTGTTTCTTTTTCTCAGAAACCTGTGAGACAGGCCCATCAATTTTGAAATATTTGGTTTTTGAGCCTGTCACTCTAATAAATTATTATTCAACATTCAAAAGGCAAATAAATGATTATCAGGCAGCACGTTATTGTTCTGCCCTTGATTTTCTGGTGGTGGAAAGGTATAGAACATCTGCAGTGATGATGATTGAAATGCCCGCGTTGTGTATGATTGTGGTATTGGCATGTCTAACATAAGAATTCCCAGCTCTAAAGAGAGCATCGGAACAGATCTGGTCATGGTTAGAATTTACGTGGCTCCCCTGTCGCTCTTTCTTGCGGAGCGTTTTTCCTGCCCCATCCTTCGTGCTTCAGAGCTGCCTCCTGAGCCTGCTTGGTCCCCAGCTCACACTCTCCCCGCGGCTGGGAAGGTAATTGAATACTCGAGTTTAAAAGGAAAGCACATCCTTTTAAACTAAAACACACCTGCTGGGCTGTAAACAGCTTTTAGTGACATTATCATCTACTCTGAAAATCTAACAAAGGAGTTATTTGTGCAGTTGAAAGTAGGATTTGCCTCATAAAAGTCACAATTTGAATTCATTTTTACTCTTAAATCCAGCCAACCTTTTCTGTCTTAAAAGGAAAAAACAAAACAAAACAAAACACATTCACCAGGGTCCTTGCTGCCTCTAACCTCAGGCAAATGAATTCCTATTGGCTGTGACTTTTGGTTTAAGTGGAAGGTTGAGGAGGAAAATGAATATAATTCTTTTGTCATCCAAAGAAAAACGTGTTTGAAAATGTCTTTGTGGCATTGGCTGGTGGCACATAACGGTTGTTCCTGTCTCTGCAGAATTAAGGTGAAAAGCACAGAAGTCGAGACCCTACAGGAGTCTCAAATTGACGACATTGCCTCCTCGTTAGGTAAGAGCCTGTTTCTAAGTGACCATTAGTTTTTAACAAAATGAGAGGTAGTTAGGGAAAGCGTAAAGACTCAGTTCTCTAGGCAAAAATTGACCTTGTTCATCTTTTTTTTCTTCATACGAGGAAACGTGAATCCTGTGAGCTAAAGGAGAAGGAAAAAATGGATCTGCTTTCTGAGACCTTTCCAGAATTTGCCCCCAAAACCACCCCTATTGACGCCCAGAATGGTTGGTGTTGAGCATCAGGGTCAGCTCAGTATGTCCGTGGCCTCCAGTGTGCACAGACGTGGAATGGGTTTGCTTCCTTGAAGAGGGGTAGAGGCTTTTCCTTTTTCCTTTGCTCATCCCCTAGTAAAATGGTTCCTGCTGCTGCCTGGCTGGTGCAGTCTCAGCCCGAGGTTTGGAAAGCAGTTGGTTGTGTGTCTAAAATTCCAGTGCAGAGCCCAGAGGACAAGGATGGGGTGGCCAGGCATCTGTGTTGGCAGCTGCCGGTTTGCAGGTGCTATCCCAGGTGGGGACGGGACAGGGTGGGGCAGAAGTGGAACCCTGTGCTTCCTGCCCTTCTGGGCGTGCTTTACCCTTAGGCATTGGGTTCCACACCCACCCCCTTTGTGTGTTTTAGGTGAGAAAGACCAGAATTAAGCCCAGCCTCGCAGGGGACTTGTCACGTGCACACACACACGAGAAACATGAGTGACTGCGTGCCCACTTCGCAGTTCAGCAAACCCAAACATGACATTTTTTCCTTCTCTTAAAGTGGGAGTATTTATTCCATTTGCAAAGAATCATTTGTCTTCTTAAAGATTGACCAGAATTTCTTCCAGTGTTGTTATGAAATAAGGTCTGTTTTCCTGTGTCTCCTGAAAAACAGCTATTGTTTAAAGCAGGATCCACCTCTGCATACCTCGGGCGGTGCTGGCCATCATCTCTCGTAGGCGTCTTTATGTTGAATCAGATCGTGTTGGGGGGCTGGTTATTTGTGGGTGCTTTTAATATTAAACAGGGGGAAATACTGTTTTGATTGAGGTATTATGCCCGCTGAGTTGTGATATTGCATCCATCATCCTGTTCAAATAAATAGTGCCATATCTGTACGTCGGAATGAATAAATAAAACTATTGTGGCAGGGAGGTTGGGCTGGAATCTAAAGGCCCATGATGCTCTTTTCTGGCTTTGAAATGCCCTTGCAAGGAAGTATTGAAAATTTACCAGCCCACAATGAGTCTTTTTAATCGGCTGTTCCTTGCCGCTGCACCCCCCCCACCCAAGAATACCCTGCCAGCAGAGTTCTTTATTTAGTTGGCATTGGTTTTTATTGACCCCGATTGAATTTGAAATTGTGAGGCTGAGAGAGGATTTGCAAAACATTTGAATACATTTTGCTCATGGTATTGTTTTGTAACTTCGAGGAATTTATCTTTTTAGCCAATCAGGTTAAGGTCAGTAAATTTCCTTTTTAAGAAAAGGAAGCTTTGCAGCCTGGAATGAATAGCTGCTGTTTTGTAGCCTCGTCCCCTTTTTGGGAAAATGTAGTTGAGAAATGTTAGTCCTTCCCTCTACTCATTTAGTTGGGAAAACTAGCGATCAAAAGTGGACAACCGAGCTGGTGGAGCGATGCCGTGTTTGCATGCCTGGGCGTCTGAATGTGACGGGGCATTGTTTGTTTTCAGTCCTTGCAGACGAGGTTCCTGCTGCACCCCTGGAGGAGCTGACCTACAGACGGTCGCTTCGAGTGGCTCTGGATGTTTTGAAAGAGAAAACCAGTTTGTGTCAAGAAAGCTCTTCCAGGGAGGATAGAAAAGCTCTGTTTCAAAGCCCGAGGAAGCCCACGGACCCAGCTTCCTTGCTCTGTGACTCCGGCTCTTCATCTCTTCTTGGTGAAGACGTGTTGGACAGTTCTGGACCTGGGAGGAGGAGGGTATGGGCACAACAAAGCCTGTCGGTTTTGTCCACTTGTGAAGAGGACCCTGAGTGCAGAGTGGACCACAAGAAGGGGCTCAGGAAAAGTGAAAACCCAACAGCCCTGTTGGTCCCTTCAGCCCAAGATGGTTCTCAGGATGGTAGCGGACCAAGAATACATCACAAAAATCAGACTATAGAAAGTAAGAGGGGAAGAAATTCAACACAAAAGTCCATCTTGTGCCAGAATATACCCTTGCCTTCAGAGGGAGATGATGATAAAGAGAGTGAGAAAAAGGCAGGTGGCTGGACAGCCCCATCCTCGCCTTCCAGAGTGCGGGAGGATGACCCATGCGCCAGAGCTGAGGGACATGACCCAGGCCTGCCCTCGGGCAGCCTCACCGTGCTCCCAGCCCAGGCTGGAGGCCGCCCCGTGAAGAGGCCACGCCTGGATGGCAGCCGGAGGCAGAGGCCCCAGGAACACAGGGCTCTGCGCAACCCCGCCCGGCCTGGCTTGCCTACCTCCCGCGCTCCTGTGGAGGAAACACGCTGTCGTCTGGTGGATTCTGAGAAGCCTGAGGAAGGTAAAAGTTGATCAGTGGAGAGCCGAGGCGCAGCGCCCAGGAGGCCATGCAGGGAGGAGTTTGGCTCTCCCCTGGCCAGGTTCTGAGTCAGGTTCCTGCGTGATTTTAACCAGATTTTAATGAGATTCATTACCAAAATAGATTGCGAGCAGAGATTTCCTTATTCCTTTTTGTTTATCTTCCCACTGGGCTATAATTACTTCAAATTCTCCCAGATATTTGTGTTTTTATTTTGGTTTCCAGGCAGAGAGACACAAGCAGGGAGTGTGGGGGGCATTGCGGCTGCACTGGGCGTCTGCACCTGCGGACTAACTCTTTTATTCTTGACTTGCAGAAGCGGTGGTGCATTCCCGCTAAACTGGGCAGGAATCTCAAGAGTGATTAACTCACTTGAAAGGCTCCTGACTTTTAAAGAATCCCTGTGTAGATACATTTCTGTGTGGTTACAGCCGTGCACCATGGTTTTTTCCCATTTTAACATTGTAGCATCCCACATATTTCTGAAATTCTAATTCAGAAATCTTAATCACTACATGGTCAATTATCTCAAAACCTGTTCGCTGCAGACTCGCTACATAGATCTAGTCTTTATTCTCTGCTTCTTTCATGAGGCCCTCTCCTTAGCACACTTGAGGGCCCCAGGGAACTGAGTCCGACCCCTTCGCCATTTTCTGAAGAGAGTGATTACACCCCTGCCTTGTTGCACTGCTAACTCTTGGTTCCTGGTACCCACTCCCTAAACATTCGCTTAGTGCTTCAGACCGTGGAGGGAATAAGCCATACCAGGACAAGAATTCCCACCCAGGATTCATTCAACATCCCATAACTTAAATTGCTGCTGCTTACTGCCTGCCTTTCATTTACAACAGGAAAGGTATTCTCCCTCCCCCTCCGCCATGTATTTATTTTTCTTTAAAATGTACTGGATAAAAGTGTACCTCAGCTGAACTTGGCGGTGTGGAATTCTGTATAGCATGGAATTTTTCCTTTTTACACTGATGGTTATGTGTCACAAAATGTTTTCTTGGGATGAGCCATCAAGACAGTACAAGGACAGTGAAAGTCTAATCTCACGTTATTGGCAGACCGTCAATCTTCTGAGGAGCCAGTAGAAATTCATTCCGTGAATTCCATCCTGGAGGAAGATGAGGAAGATGAGGAGCCACCAAGAATGCTTTTATACCATGGTAAGAAATAGGCAAAGAGCATGCCTTCCGCTGTAACAATACGCACAAGAGAAACGTGGGCTGGCCTTCCGAAGCTATTTCTGACATTTTTGCGAGAGGTCCCTTACTGTTTAATTTTTTCCCTGCTGCACTAAGACCCGGAAGGGACCTTAAGAAGTGCCCCATTTTCGGTCCTCTAAAGGAATAACCTACACAAAGGGAAGAGGGACTCCCCCGAAGAGACAGCCCAGCCCTCCCTGTTAGATCATGGCTTCTTCCATTTGCCTTAGGTCCTTGTCCTCCTGTCCCCATGATGGGTTATATCACTGTCATTTGGGTGTGGTGCACACTGCTTCCCCGGGCCATGCTGCAGTCAGATGGGGCTTGGACGTGTCTCCAGTGAGGCAGGTCTCGGCCCAGGGTAGCAGCGCTCCCACACCCCTCCCGCAAGGAGCTATTTGCACCAGAGGAAAGTGTGCATTTAGGTAGGGATTAGAAATAAAATGACCCAAAGATTGTAACCAGCAATGAACAGAAAGTTAGTCTGCTTCACAAACTAAGTCATTTAGAACCAGTTACATTTTCAGAGTTGCCCGTGAACCACTCATCTTAATCCAGTCTCATCTTTTTTTTTTTAAACTTTCTAATTTAGAAATAACTACAGATTCACAGGATGTTGCAATAATAGTACGGGGGACCTGGTGGGCCTCTCACCCAGCTGCCCCCACTGGTGACATCCCGTGGGACAGCCTCACACTGGGAGGCTGACTTACAGCCACGAAAGCTCCCTGCTTCCCCACGCACTCCCCTGTGTGAGCGTGCATGCGTGCGCAGGGTCTCATGCAGTTATTTTTTTGTCTAGACTGCTAGAATTGTTTCCATCGTTGTATGAGTGTAATTTCAACGTTGCATTTTCATGTTTTCCATGTAGCACTAACTCAGATGCTGTTTACATTTCCACATGATCTCCTAGTCATTCCTAGTGGCGACTAGTTATTGTTTACTACGCGTGATGAGTCTCCACTCACTAAATCCTCCCCACCCATGGGGCATCTACACTGCTCCAGGATCACGGGTCTATAGTGGACCTGTCATGGGTTTCTACAAGCAAGCGTTTTTGCCCACAGGGAGGGGACACTGCCTGCCCAAAGGGCCCCTTCCTTCCACACCACCACCGGCTGGGGATCAGGTCACCACGGCCTCACAAAACCCAGGTGTTTGCTCTTTTTTTCCTGCTGGTAGCTTGAACAGTTTTTGGCTTCCAATTTGGTTTTGTTGTTTACCTGTCAGGCTCTGAATGGGCCGTTTGTCCATACGGGGCTTAAATACTAAATGCCTTCTCCCCAGGAGGAAATAACACACCATCATGTCTGTAGCAAGTTTTTTTCCTCCAGTTTTCTCCATTTTCAGTGGGTCTTATTTTTCACTTTATAGACCTATTGATTTCTACATAGTCGAATATCAGAGCTTTCCCTTTCTCCCACGATGGTGTCAGACTGATGGAGTCTCTGCTGCACGTGTCTGTTAATAGTCTCTTTTCTTCCAGTTTTTCTGTTACTTGATTTTTTAAACTTTAAGTTACTCATTTTGATCTTGTTTTGGTAAAAAATGCAGTTAAGTTTTGTTAAGAAATAGTTTGCAGTTATCTCATGATTTAAATACATTTTTCACACTGTTAAGACTCCAGTGTCTCAGATACGCTTCTAAGAAATCAAGTTCACATGTCTGGATCTCTATTGTGTGTCATAATCTCACTTCTGTTTTGTGCCACACTCTTTTAAAAAAGTACATCATTTTGGAATAATTTTAGATTTACAGAAATTGCAAACACAGGACAGAGAGTACCCATCTGCCCCTCAGTACTTCCCTGCATGTTACCACCGAATGTCTGTCACAGCCGAGAAGCCAGCTCATAGTTGGCAGTTAGATTCAGGTGACAGGAGTTTAAAATCTAGCTTTCAAATGCTCTTGATCCTTTAAGTGAATCTTGTTAAAATCAGATTTATACAGTGTCACAGTAATTGTGTTTTGTCAAGCTGCTGCACTTGGTACTTGATGTGGATTTGACTTGTCTCTTCTTTTTGTTTTTCTGTTTTCTTCCTTGGTTTGTTTTTGTTTTTTTGTTTTTTTTTTTTTTTTAATTCTAGAACCACGCTCGTTTGAAGCAGGAATGCTAGTCTGGCTTAAATATCAAAAATACCCCTTCTGGCCAGCAGTGGTAAGAACAGCCTCCTCCATGTTCTACGAGTGGTCAGGCAGATCCTGGGAATTTTTTATTGCACTTGTCTTCAATCCTTGGTAATTTGACCTGGGCACATGTTTTCATTATTTTGTTACTGCTGGAAAAAAATTGGTGAGTTCATAAGAAAGATTTCTGGAGACACATTGGCCTAAATAAAGGGAGTTTGGTCATTTTGGCACAATTTAAGGTTTATAGGTCAAATTTTTAACAAGCAGGCGAAGAAAAACATGCTTGAAAAAAATGTTGGTGACTTACTCATCCTAAATATCATGCATTTCAAACCTTTTTCCCCCATTAGAGCTCATTAATTTAGATTTTATGGTAGGGATCGAGTCACATGTATAAAAACAAGTACAGTCACGTTGCTTAACGCTGGAGAGGCGTTCTGAAAAATGCATCGTTAGGCGATTTCGTCTTTGTGCGAACATCACAGAGTTACATGAACCTGGGTGGGATGGCCTGTGGCTCCCAGCTGCACACCTGTACAGCATGTTACTGTGTGGAATCCTGTGGGCGCTTATCACATGATGGGGTGTGTGTGCTTTTAAACATAGAAAAGGTGAAAAATAGTAATAATAAAAAAAACATAGAAAAGCAGTAGAAACAGGATTATAATCTCATGGGACCTCCGTCACATGTACAGTCTGTTACTAACTGAAACGTCATTATGTGACACGTAACTGTATTCGAA